AAACCATAGTAAGAGAATTGGTGTAAATCTCGCTCGACATTGCATAGTTGACCTTGAAAGACATTGTCAAAAAGTTCAAGGTCAAAGAATGACCAAGGTCAGCATCAGGTAGCTCCTTTTTCACCATATAACACTTAAAAGCTGTATTTATATTTGAACTTGAAATGACCTTTAAATTTGACACTGACTCAAGGTCAAGCTTATATCTATTCAAAAAAAAATTCTTCTCCTTTCGTTTCCGTGACTGTGAACTTTTACCAGAAAACTTGTAAACCATAGTAAGCGAATTGGTATAAATCTCGCTCGACATTGCATAATTGACCTTGAAAGACCTTGTCAAAAAGTTCAAGGTCAAAGAATGTCCAAGGTCAGCGTCAGGTAGCTCCTTTTTCACCATATAACACTTAAAAGTTGTATTTATGTTTGACCTTGAAATGTCCTTTAAATTTGACACTGACTAAGGTCAAGCTTATATCTATTCAAAAAAATTTCTCCACCTTTCATTTCCGTGACTGTGAACTCATGAACTTTTACCAGAAAACTTGTAAACCATAGTAAGCGAATTGATGTAAATCTCGTTCAACATTGTAGAGTTAACCTTAAAATAACTTGTCAAAAAGTTCAAGGTCAAAGATTTTCCAAGGTCAGGGTCAGGTAGCCCCTTTTTCACCAGATAACACTTAAAAGCTGTATTTATGCTCGACCTTGAAATGACCATTAAATTTGACACTGACCCAAGGTCGAGCTTATATCTATTCAAAAAAATTTCCCTACCTGTCATTTCCGTGACTGTGAACTCATGAACTTTTACCAGAAAACTTGTAAACCATAGTAAGCGAATTGGTGTAAATCTCACTCCACATTATAGAGTTGACCTTAAAAGACCTTCTCAAACAGTGAAAGGTCCAAGATTTTCCAAGGTCAGTGTCAGATAGCCCCTTTTTCACCATATAACACTTAAAATCTGTATTTAAGCATGACCTTGGAATGACCTTTAAATTTGACACTGACCCAAGGTCCAGCTTATCTCTATTCAAAAAATGTTCCCCACCTGTCGCTTCCGTGACTGTGAAGTCATGAACTTTTACCAGAAAACTTGTAAACCATAGTAAGCGAATTTGTGTAAATCTCGCTCGACATTGTAGAGTTGACCTTAAAATAACTTGTCAAAAAGTTCAAGGTCAAAGAATGACTAAGGTCAGTGTCAGGTAGCCCCTTTTTCACCATATAACACTTAAAAGCTGTATTTATGTTTGATCTTGAAATGACCTTTAAGTTTGACACTGACCCAAGGTCAAGCTTATATCTATTCAAAAAAATTTCGCCATCTTTCATTTCCATGTCTGTGAACTTATGAACTTTTTACCAGAAATCTTGTAAACCATAGTAAGCGAATTGGTGTAAATCTCGCTCGACATTGCAGAGTAGACCTTGAAAGACCTTGCCAAAAAGTGCAAGGTCAAAGATTTTCCAAGGTCAGTGTCAGGTAGCGCCTTTTCCACCATGTAACACCCAAGGTCAAGCTTATATCTATTCAAAAAAATTTCCCCACCTTTCGTTTCCGTAACTGTGAACTCATGAACTTTTACCAGAAAACTTGTAAACCATAGAAAGCGAATAAGTGGAAATCTCGCTCGACATTGAAGAGTTGACCTTAAAAGACCTTGTCAAAAAGTGAAAGGTCAAAAATCTGCCAAGGTCAGTGTCAGGTAGCCCCTTTTTCACCATACAACTTTTGTTTGGAACACTTAAAAGCAGTATATCTGTTTGACATTGAAATGACCTTTATATTTGTCACTGACCCAAGGTCAAGCTTGTATCTAATCAAATTTTCCCACCTTCCGTTTCCGTGACTCTGAGGGGGTCTCATTTAAAATGATGATATTACCTGTCAGACTTGAATGCCCTAGTCAAGATCATTTCTAGGTCGGTGTCAGGCTAGACTTTTGCCTGAAAGTTCTTCGAAATTAGCTTATATTTTCCACTGACCTTGTAATGACCTTGGCCTTGGGGTCAATATCATTTGAAAAGATATTCTTGACGCTTCAAATATCTCTGAATAATCATTTTTCCGAAATCGTTAATTTTACTTAATGTTAGAAAATAATTGGTGCAAACGTGAATTTTGAGTTTGGTGGTCGAGAGAGAGAGAGAGAGATAATATTAGGTTCACACACTCTGTCACATATAAATCAAGTCTAGTACACCTGCGAATTAACAGTTTCCACAGTCTCAGCTTCAAAGCTTTGGTGAGCATTCGTGTAACTAGTAACTACCCGAAGCCTCACTTCCTCCATCGTTTGTTTCAATGAATCCACATTCGGCTCATGGTTGTGGATACAGTTCCGCAAAACGATAGCGTTGTCGTACGTGTGACATCTTGCTTTGCATCTGAACTTCTCTTTGGTTCGACACACCCATATCAATCTGTTGCTAAACGTTTTTTCGATTTTGTATTCGTAGTCGTCGTATACCAGCCTTCTTCGACTGCCGACTGTGCGTAACACCGACACAACTGAAAAAAATTTACTTACTTATTTCGGTTAAAAGGAACACTGAATATTTTCTAGATCTGCCGCTGGTTAGTATCTTTGTTTCTTGGATAAACGAATGAAATTTTTCCAATTGTGTTTTTTAAAATTGAAGGTGCTATAGAAATCCAATAGAGACACCAAAATGACTTGTTCACTTTCATCAAAATTTGCAATCAAATCTCATATTGAAGCTAAATAAAATGGCCATCTGATATATACGACGACCTGACAGAAAAAAATGATTTAAAGCCCGGAGACTAAGAAGAAGACTAACATTTTGCATAAAAACCGTTGCTCCTAAATTCGTTCTCCTACACAACCTAAAAACTAAAATCGTGAAGCTTCAAAATGCTATTTTTAAAATCTAGATACAACCAAACCTGCCAAAAATCACAGAACTTTTTTTTAGTAGTGTAGTATTGTTCCGTATAATGGAAACAATGTGGCAACACTGTACGATGTGTGTAGCGTTGATCTAGAGGCAGTACACATTGAAACCAGGCCGACCTCAACCGTAAATGATTTGCACTGTATGCAACCCCCTTTACCAGAGATGCTCCCTGTATAAATCTGGTAACCCATGATCATTTATGATCCGTTAGCATACTGTGTTTCTTTTTAAACATATTAGATAATGTTATTTATCCTCAACTAATTGAATACTTAGAGACTAACTGTTTATTCGCTGTCCATCAGTCTGGGTTTCGTCCTGGGCCCAGTACAACTTCTTCACTACTCCATTTGACAGACAATATCTTAAATAATATGGATGGACATATTTATACAGTTTTAGTGATGATCTTCTCTTCGACATGGTTAACCGTAAAATTTGGTTGAGTAAGTTAAAATATATTTTACTTTATGGAATTCCTCTTAAGTTTTTTTGAAACTTTCTTAAATTATCGTGAACAAAAGGTGTCTCATCATCTGTGGCTGCTTCAGGTGTTCCTCAGGGGCCTTTTTTAGAGCCTTTGCCGTTTTTAATATACACTTTTACTTTACATTATATATATATAACTTGAGACGTGGTCATTGTCGTCTAGAACAGTTAGGTGAAAAATTAAAGCTTCCGCCTTTTGTTGGGTACTTCGACAAAATTTAAGCAAAGAGGACTCTATACTTTTTTAATTCTCTCTAACTTTCAATGGACTTTGCCATCATCATCAGGAGCTGCAATTACAATGATAACAGCAGCAACAAAAGTGTAAAATGAATTTAAATTGACTCAACTTACAGTAGTATGTGAGGATGTTGCTAATTGTTGTTTACGTATAGGATGAGGGAAACGTCCAGTAACATGGTGAGAGCTGGATACACAGACATTGACAACCTTCGGCCTTCTGTCAAAGGTTCATCTCACTCATTATTCGATAACCACCATTTTGTGCAATCATCAAGTGGCTTCACGACGTAATGCTCAAATGTTTTCTAAATAATTTTTAATCTGTCTTTAACTTGTCTTGTCATATTTTATATAATTTTAACCATTGTACCATGTATCCAGCTCTCACCATGTTACTGGACGTTTCCCTCATCCTATACGAAAACAACAATTAGCAACATCCTCACATACTACTGTAAGTTGATTCAATTTAAATTCATTTTACACTTTTGTTGCTACTGTTATCATTGTAATTGCAGCTCCTGATGATGATGGCAAAGTCCATTGAAAGCTAGAGAGAATTAAAAAAAGTATAAAGAGTCCTCTTTGCTTAAATTTTGTCGAAGTACCCAACAAAAGGCGGAAGCTTTAATTTTTCACCTAACTGGTCTAGACGACAATGACCACGTCTCAAGTTATATGGTCGTAGTCATTGTCGTCTAGACCAGTTAGGTGAAAAATTAAAGCTTCCGCCTTTTGTTGGGTACTTCGACAAAATTTAAGCAAGGATGACTCTTTATACTTTTTTTATTCTCTCTAGCTTTCAATGGTCTTTGCCATCATCATCAGGAGCTGCAATTACATTGATAACAGTAAGACTATTGTTGCTACTGTTATCAATGTAATTGCAGCTCCTGATGATGATGGCAAATACCATTGAAAGCTAGAGAGAATAAAAAAAGTATAAAGAGTCCTCCTTGCTTAAAGATATGTTTTTTCAATCGGTTGAACATCAAATCGATTTATTTTCTTTCAGGTTCGTATGTATCTTTTTCTTGTATTGTATGTACATATTTCCTCGCACAATAGGGTAGGGTGTAAGAGTAGCCAACAGGTTAAACTACGCCTTATTGTTATGTAACTAATAAAGACATTTTATTAAGATTACATTTGATACAAAACTGAAGGCCGGATAATAAAAAAGGGCATACTAGATATAAAAAAAACATATATTCAACCTTAATACCAAAACATAATCGCAAAAACTTATTCATTCGTCAATACTCTCGACTTCAATATGTTCGTCCAATCGTATTATTTCGAGAAATAAATGAGCTTTGTTCTTATGCCTCTTCAAACTATCCATCTGTGTGTATCTCTTCGGGCACAGATCGCAAAAAAACTGTTTCGGTTGTTCTCTACCGCAGTTGAACCTTCGATGACGCAAGAGATTGCTTTTGAATTTGAATGTACGGTTGCAGTTTGTGCAGGTTGTCTTATCTAAAAAACATTAACTAATTAATAATCGTCAATAAATGTACGATGAGTACAGTAAAAATAATACTCTAATTAGCCAAAAAACTAAAAAGAGAAACGTCTAGTCATAATTTTGTCGAAAATTTGATAACAATTATGGTATCTGATTTTATTGTCAATAAATTTTGTAATATTGTTTTTAAACAGTGCTAGGCAGCTTATGTAGTGAAGATGAGACGAGCTTTTAGAAGCTATAAATTTAGAGCAGCTAAACCTAATCATGAAAGATTGGGCGTGGAATATGAAGAAAGAAAACGGTGAAAATGACAAAGACCTAGTTGTGAAGACAATGTGGAATACCCTTGCAAGAAAATGAAGTGGAAAATAACTTTTGATCCATTTAAACACGTCCATTGATGTTATCTGCGAAAACCCTATATTTTTTTATAAGTTTGTATCAGGTCAGTCAAACTAGATAATTTAATTTAATTTAATTTAATTAAGATTTCCCTTACATTGAAGTGTTTTCGACCCTGATATCTAAGCTCACCGCCCGACGGACCGGTTTTGAAGACTTATCTGTCCGTACTGCAGCGCAAAAAACATATACACGACCATGTAGCGATGCCACGAAAAGGGACAATGTTGCCAGATGTATAGTTACTACCTGTAGGTAGGAACGAATGTCTATAACCGGTCTGACTGACTTGGTCCGTTTAATCCCTCTATTTTACATGTTCGTAACTGGCTTTTTTCTCAGAGGATTGTTGGCGGTGCGTACGAATACCAAACCACAGAGCGTAGCTGAACGATAAGCAGTTAGCAGCTTGTTAAAAGTAAGTTTGACGGTATTTGAAAATTATTTTACTCACAAACTACAATTTAATAGACGGTATAGTGGATTAAAAATGAATCATCCAAAAACGAGAGGAAACATTTCTATTGTTACACACTCAAAGGTAATCTTGCCAAAAACGAAATCACAAAGGTTTCATAGAGATGATCGTTATTTTCTACCTAGCTGCCTGTTTTTAATATTTTCCCATAATTTTCTGCATGTTCTTTTCACCATGTTATTCTCATAATAAATCCTTGCAACTTACCTCAACCACAACTTTTTACAAAATAAATATTTCCTCAACAAGACTTAAATAATCAAACAACAAAAAATGGATTCTTTACTGTACTGCTTCATCTTTACAATAAATACTATAATTATTCCAAGTCTTCTTAACTAAACTGTACACTCTGGAGGTCATTTGGTACAGGTTAGCCTTGACATTATACGTATGATTGTGAACGTCGAACCGACTATCAATAACATTCCTGTCATTATACGTATAACATCTAGCTTTGCATTTGAACTTTTCTTTATTCCTGCAACTCCATGCCAGTCTGTTGTGAAATCTCCTTTCCAGTTTATATTCGTAGCAGTTGTACACCAACTTGTATTGGGGACCCAGGCTGACATGAGCTGTCACAACTGAAAGCGATGTATTTTAAATGATAACATTTTCATGTTACGCGGTTAAATGTACCCACAATAACTTCAAATTGTAAATTTAACGATTAACTAATAAGTTCAACTTTACGTTTTATTACCTTTTTTATTCTTATTTTCTCATTTGTCACAAAGATTCATAGTAAATGTCATCTAATTTTATTTATTGTACCATTACTATGAAAACGATACATCGTAATTTTGTGGTGAATTTAGGATGACGTCACTTTGTTTATTATGTTTCCCTCTTCAAGCTCCTTCATTTCACACCAATACCACCGGGGCTATGAAAATGATAAATCGTCGTATTGTAGCATCCGCCATATTGAAGACGTTAAAGGCGTCCTACATTAGAAGGAACGACTTACGATACGGGCTTAACAAGTCGAGCCAAATAAACGCTTGCAAAAAAACAAAAACTGACAACGTAAAGGAATAAGACACATGTTTCAGATGTTTAATATTATATTACAAGCAATCCTTAAATCATCAGCCACTACACTCGCAACGTAATCACGTCGATTACGTTTGGCAAAGTTCTTGATCAATTAAATGCTAGCATGCAAACTTTCTAAAGAACGCAGGGGTTCCTAAAAAATACGCTTGAAAATTAATTTAAAAACGGCTACTAAAACTCATTTCATTATCATTCAAAGAGAATTACTTCATATCCAAACATGTCATTTTTTTGGTCATCGTCTTCGTCATCCTGTTTCTTGGATCGCCTTAATTCTTTGGCGTACGACTTTTCGCCATCTTTGCCAAGAATCATCGACAGTTTCGTGTATTCGCGGTCCTTTTTCAACATGGGAGCGTGGTTGTGATCCATGTGCTTGATAAGCAGCCTAAAACATATACCGAGATGATCATTCGGAGAGGGTGGCTGACAACAAGAAAGTAGACTCGAGCTCGTTTTTTATAATTTCCGTCGGGAACTGGTGCTGCTATTTCCGGTGCTCGCGTGTAGGAGTTCAGCGGCCCACAACCCGCGGTAGTGAAATAATTTCAAACCCAGTGCTGGAGTTTATCGGGTTGCGGAGATTTTGATAGAAATCAGCATCCCTTGGTGAATTTTGTTGCCGGAGCCCTTTTCTCGCCCTCATCTGGATGTTTCCCTCTTCAAGCTCTTTCATTTTACACCAATACCACCGGGGCTATGAAAATGATAAATCGCCGTATTGTAGCATCCGCCATATTGACGACGTTAAAGGCGTCCTACATTTGAAGGAACGACTTACGATACGGGCTTAACAGGTCGAGCCAAATAAACGCTTGCAAAAAAACAAAAACTGACAACGTAAAGGAATAAGACACATGTTTCAGATGTTTAATATTATATTACAAGCAATCCTTAAATCATCAGCTACTACACTCGCAACGTAATCACGTCGATTACGTTTGGCAAAGTTCTTGATCAATTAAATGCTAGCATGCAAACTTTCTAGAGAACCCAGGGGTTCCTAAAAAATGCGCTCGAAAATTAATTTAAAAACGGCTACTACAACTCCTTTCATTATCATTGAAAGAGAGCGTGGTTGTGATCCATGTGCTTGATTAGCAGCCTAAAACATATACCGAGATGATCATTCGGAGAGGGTAGCTGAAAACAAGAAAGAGTCGAGCTCGTTTTTTATAATTTCCGTCGGGAACTGGTGCTGCTATTTCCGGTGCTCTCGTGTAGGAGTTCAGCGGCCCACGACACGCAGTAGTGAAATAATTTCACACCCAGTGCTGGAAATTTATCGGGTTGTGGAGATTTTGATAGAAATCAGCCTCCCTTGGTGAATTTTGTTGCGAGCCCTTTTCTCGTCCTCATCTGGATGTTTCCCTCTTCAAGCTCCTTCATTTCACACCAATACCACCGGGGCTATGAAAATGATAAATCGCCGTATTGTAGCATCCGCCATATTGACGACATTAAAGGCGTCCTACATTAGAAGGAACGACTTACGATACGGGCTGAACAGGTCGAGCCAAATAAACGCTTGCAAAAAAACAAAAACTGACAACGTAAAGGAATAAGACACATGTTTCAGATGTTTAATATTATATTACAAGCAATCCTTAACTCATCAGCTACTACACTCGCAACGTAATCACGTCGATTACGTTTGGCAAAGTTCTTGATCAATTAAATGCTAGCGTGCAAACTTTCTAAAGAACCCAGGGGTTCCTAAAAAATGCGCTTGAAAATTAATTTAAAAACGGCTACTAAAACTCCTTTCATTATCATTCAAAGAGAATTACTTCATATCCAAACATGTCATTTTTTTGGTCATCGTCTTCGTCATCCTGTTTCTTGGATCGCCTTAATTCTTTGGCGTACGACTTTTCGCCATCTTTGCCAAGAATCATCGACAGTTTCGTGTATTCGCGGTCCTTTTTCAACATGGGAGCGTGGTTGTGATCCATGTGCTTGATAAGCAGCCTAAAACATATACCGAGATGATCATTCGGAGAGGGTAGCTGAAAACAAGAAAGAGTCGAGCTCGTATTTTATAATTTCCGTCGGGAACTGGTGCTGCTATTTCCGGTGCTCTCGTGTAGGAGTTCAACGGCCCACAACCCGCGGTAGTGAAATAATTTCACACCCAGTGCTGGAGATTTATCGGGTTGTGGAGATTTTGATAGAAATCGTCCTCCCTTGGTGAATTTTGTTGCCGGAGCCCTTTTCTCGCCCTCATCTGGAGGGGAACTGTCTGCAAGTAGGACTCACGACGGTGAGGAGCAGTCCCCATTCCTGTGAACCTCCATTGTTCGACGGTACCAAATATTTTTCTTTTGCTTGCCCTCCAGGACTTCTGTTTTATTTTTTTTGTTCAATCAATTTTTGTGTACCTTGTGAGTTTGTATCTCCTTTAGCGCCAGAGACCCAACATTAGTTGCTTGTTATTTCTTTTCCTAGTAGACCAAAGTACGACGTCTCATTAACCACCGACTGAGCACAGTTACATTCTTTTGCCAAATTATAACTTGACATAAGGGGGGATAACAATACAAATTTGCATCAAGTTGATATGAACAAAGATGAAGATATAGATATTCTTTCCGAGTACTTCCTGTGCAATTAAAGTTTGTGAAGCAAAAGTGGTACTTACACTTTTCCGAAAGTAACGATTCTAGCTTTACATTTCAGACTTTCCTTCCTGGTACAACACCACATCAGTCTGTGAGTCGAGGTTCGTTCCATTTTGTATTCGTAATTTTTGTACATGAGTATGTCATTTTTCTGTCCTTTTCTTTTATACACAGTCACTAAAAAATATGACCACTTAGAATTTATGATACATGGAAATTTTGAACATAATTTTAGAAGAAGTCATTCAAAAATGTTTACTTCAAAGCCTTTGAAAATGATATTTGGGGAGTTTTATTTTTTTATATAACAAGCAGTTGCAAAATTGCCGTCCAAAGATCAAGCGTAAAGTTTTGTTGTTAATAAGCCAGCATAAGCTGCAATTCTGGCAATAGATGGCACCTGATACTGTCTCATTTCGATGTCCTGACCTGAGGCCAAGCCTAGACGTTGCTGATGAGTTGTCAAAAAGCACAAAACATCTGTCCATGGTGGACTGCCTGTGGTCGGACCAGTATATTTAGATGGTAGCTATTCTTCGTTTTTTCATTTCAAAGAAAAATATCGATGACTTTGTTTCAATCAAAAGCAAGTCCTTGTTCAGTCGATACGAAATTGATGTTTTTTCCACGAGTGTTCAACTTCATGGGCACTTAATGATTCTTTTCAATAAGCTAAGAATAAGATGCAAACACAGAGCAGTTGAAGATACAACAGAAAGAGCAGTCAAGCCAATGCAAGACTCCATTGCTTAATTACTGCTGATGATTTTTTTATTGTAAAACGAAAACTTTAAGAAGAAAATTTAGTAAATAATGTTCTTTTAATAATAACTATTTAACAAATATAAGATACAAATAAAGCGGTTTATGAATGAAACATGGACGTATGAACGTTAATGGAGGAAATGGGGACACCATTAAACAAATGTTGTCATTGACTATAAATAAAAAACGATATATCCTGAAAACATTTTTATTATTTCAATGCATGCAACCCACTATGTAACTCTTGTAGTAAAAAGATTTATATTCAAATAAAAAAATCAATTATCATTCGGAGTCCTCAATGGATACTTCTATGGCTTTCTTTGAACCTGGATCGCCTCCATACTCCATAATTTGTCCAACGTACGTTGCTCTTTTTTTCACAGTAGGTCCATGATTGTGAACCGCAATTGTTAAGTAAAATCTAAAAAGACACGATTCCACTATATTTCTTGTAAGGTATTATGTCAAAACAATTTGAATTGTGTAGTAGGTATCAAAATTGCAGCTAATAGTTTGACTATATAGGGATTGTCCGGAAAGTAATAGGACTCATGTCCTTCCGCCATGACTGTTGCTTTAGCAAGAAGTGGTGTGTTTCGGTGGCACCAGGCCTGGAAGACCTTCGACTTCGACAAACACCGATAATGTGACTCGTGTGCGCAAAGTTTTGAACTCAGACCGTCGACTAAGTATTCGTTTAATTGCCCAGAGGTTAAATTTACCAAAATCTGTGGTCGATGACATTGTGACACAGCATTTGAACATGCGCAAGGTGTGCGCGAAGATGGTCCCAAAAGTGACCAGAAATTGCGGCGACTGGAAGTGTGCCAAGAAAATTTGAACATGTGTGAAAGTGACCTCCAATTTTTGAATAACGTAATCACAGGTGGCGAGTCGTGGATCTTTGAGTATGATCCCGAGACAAAGAGGCAATCTTCCGAGTAGCACACGACGGCGTCTCCTCGCCCGAAAAACGGAAGAATGAGCAAATCCAAGTGAAAACGTGGAAGTGCTCAGGAGACTCGAACGAAGGGTCACTCGGGTCCGACACGACACCGCAGCCGACTGGAAGCTGCACCACGACACCGCCTTTCTTGTGAACAGCTACCTGACCAAGGCCGGCATCCCAACGCTTCCGCAGCCGCCCTACAGCCCAGATGTGTCCCCCCGGACTTTTCTTTGTTTCCTCGCCTGAAAAGGCCTATGAAAGGCAAGCATTGCAGCATGCACCGCGGCTCTCAAGGCTATTCCGGAGAATGCCTTCCGTGACGCCTTCGATGCTTGCAAGTTTTTAAAGAATTGTAATGATTGGCTCAATAAATTTGTTTAAATCGACTCAGTCCTATTACTTTCCGGACAAACCCTGTAAGTGACATGCAACAATTTTTCATATCAACTTGTCACATTACCCGTATATTTTGGGACATCCTGTATACGTACTCACCTATTTTTGAATGTGGCAACTCTCGCTCTGCACTTTGTTTTGTACTTTTGGGTGCAACACCACATCAACCTATGTCTGGTGGTCTGTTCGACGTTGTATTCATAGTTGTTGAACATCAGTATACAGTTTTTGGGCCCCTTCCTTTTATACACTATTACTAAAAAATATATTTGTTAAACCGCGGCATGACTATAAACCGATATCTATGTATGTGACCGTAAGAGCTCGGTACTGGATGCCAGACGCTGCCGTACGCAATTCCCGTCGCGAGCCTGACGCTGTGTAGTCGACTGATCGGTTAACGTTTGTTATGATACGTTCTTTCCTCATATCCGCAAAAGTTGTACTACTGTTTGATAGTAGATATTCTGCGGTAAAACTACAACGAAGCGATATAAAAATGCTCTTTTTCAAATGAAGTCGCTATACAGGGTGTAATATTATTTCAAATAAAAAAGCCGTTAATTATTATTCGTTTATTATAAACTACCAGCTTGATTGCTATATAAACATTCATGTGTCTGAAATGTATCTAAACTACAGTAATCAGTTTCATAAAACTAAATAAATGTTTCACACATCCCAACAACTTTTAGTGAAAACTCAACGTCGCTCTTCTAGCAGAACTTTTCTGCAAAACATTCTACCATCAATCACCAAGAGTCATCGTAATTTTCGCGTACCTTTTTCCGAACCGTTCTGTAGGTCCATGATTATGCTCCGTACACTTCAAATAGATCCTAAAAAAGAATCCATACCAATATATAATATAAATGAGAAAATGCGGATGTTTGTTGAGTAGATAGGGTTTGTGTGTTCTGGAACGCCCTTGAGCGCCGACCTTGGGCGCCAAACGACCTTGAGAGTTGACCTTCGGTGCCAACCTTGAAACGTGACCTTGAAGTGTGACCTTTAATCGTGACCTTGAGCTTTCGAGTGACCTTATTGTGGTCACACTTCAAGGTCACTCGAAAACTCAAGCTCACTCGGAAACTCAAGGTCACGATTCAAGGTCACGATTCAAGGTTGGCACCGAAGGTCAACTCTCAAGGTCGTTTGGCACCGAAGGTCGGCGCTCAAGGGCGTCCCAGAACATACAAACCCTATCTACTTTGTTGGTCAATAACGTCAAAGTGACTGAACTGACACCGAAATTTGGTACAGAAATATATTATACAAGGTGTAAACGTTGTCCTTTTGTCTGGGTGTGCCCGTTGGCGAAATCCGTCGCGATAAATATGAGCTGCAAGATTTGAATTCTGACGACCTTCACCGTAAACTAACAACATGTCGGCGAACTCTTGATTCGAGAACATTGTAAATAAACACGACGACGTACGCGAACAAAAACAAACCAACACGCCCGATGCTATGCAAAACGATACCTAACCACTGTTACAGTTTGCGATCGATTATTACAGTCTGGAATAACAGGAAAGCTACTCTGTATCCCGAAAAATAGCTTTGAAATATCTATGCAATCAAACGGATTTATGGAATTTGGCATGGAAGCAGAAGCGTCAGTCGCTGATCTGACTGAAATTAGTAGTAAAAGAAGCAATCAGTTGACTCGAGCGAGGTCAAACTTGTACTGAAGGCGGATCACACGTTACTCTGTCTCCCGGTCGAGCCGGGCGCCTCCAGTGTTGCCAGATCGAACGCAACGTCGCCGATTTACAGACCTCGTATACTGAAGCTGAAAGTTTCAGCGAGATTCGTTCCCGAGTTCATAGGACGATTTCGATTGATCCTCAACAATCAATTTTTCGTGGGCGACTACGAACCATATGATTATATCAAATTTTCTTACTTACATATGTCCGTATGTGACTACCCTTGCTCTACACTTCGTTTTAAATTTTTGTGCGCAACACCACATTATTCTATGTTTGGTGGTGTTTTCGACGGTATATTCGCAACAGTCTAGCATCAATATGTGGTTTTTCTGACCCATCCTCCTGTACACGATCACTGAAACAACATATGTTTGGTCAAGCTAGAAACATTTCTAAAAATAACCTAGGAAAGATGGAAGAATTGCAGAAAGGTGCCTTACCTAGAGCGTTTGAACACTTCCTCTCAAGTTACGGTAGTTGCGCGATAAATTAATATTGCACTTATGATAAAAACACAGCTATCTCATAAAATCAGTTTATTATAGAAAAGCAATCAAACACTATGTGTTTCAAATTCGACACTCACCGTTAGGATCTCGGAGGTAAGAGATACAAAGTCGCTTTATTGGGCGCCAAGTTGCGTATTCAGTTTTGGAATTCTAAGTATTTCCGAACAGAGACGGAAAAAAATTTCATATAATCGTTCTAATTCATTATCACACAATCCTTATTAGGACTGATAAATTCTTTTATAGATCCTCTGTAGGTGAGTAAGAGAGATAGAGCTAGCGCGCGATCTGCGCATGCGTGCAGCTTCGGACACTAATGAGTCTGATACACGTTTATAATATTCGTATAATATATTATATGATAACCGTGATTCACACAATACGATCAAAGAATTTGTAATTATAAAGTCTTGTTGATTACAATACAAATAACGAATATGAATGAAACAACAACACCGGGGTGTTTAATTAACTAGACGTGTGGAAAGACGGCTGATCGCGTCTTAATTGTGTCAGCATCCTTCACGGTTACCTCTCTCCGTACCGGGAGTATGTGTCTCGATTACTTCTGTTTCAAGTATCATTCCGACATAGCTTTGGTTTTACATTTAAAATTTGCGATTTGAATTTATATTCTAAATCCGTTCATATTCGTCAATATTTCATTTGAAGCTTTTATTTGTCATAAGATTTTAGTAAAATGTAACCTAGTAAAGGCAACACCGCACCGTGCAGCCCAGTTGACAAGAACGACAAGCTGTCAAGATTAGGGATGTTTAGATCCACGAAAAGTATCGTTATGTATCGATTCTTATCGTTTTCCTAAACAACCAAAAAATATTTGACTATGGGTATCAAAATCCTGAATGTTTATAGGAAAAAGACACACGGTAGGTGATGTTGAATCGGTAAAATCGCATATCAATTGAAGAAAATATAAACATGAATAAACAATCGACGATATTAAATAATTTTATTAAAAAATCGAACACTTTTTTAAATTTTGACTAAATTACATGTAATGTCTTAATATTCAATGACAAGCTGTCATCTCATACTTTGACAGTATGTTGTTTTCAACATTTCATAGCTATTGGTTGTTAAAACAGGTGGAGAATAACGGACTACAATCCTGGTGAATTCCACCCTTAGGTTATTTAAAAGACAAAATTTCTTGGTAGGCCTTGAAATTATCAGATGATCATTTGTTATTTCCGAAATCCCAATGTCGAGGATTGAATTTGAAACACGGCGTATTTTTCTCCATAAATTCTTTATTAACTTTTTAATTCGACGTTCACTTTTTCGGCGTTCTATAACCGGACCTTCTTCCGTCATGTTGGCCAAGTGTCATCTCAACTGCGGAATAAGTCCGTCCGACTTGTACCGTCGGAGGGTGCGTGTGCTCTATGGATTTCAAATAAAGCCTGGGGAAAGATGATCAATGAAAATATACTTTATAGCGTGATTTTGTTTAGAGCCGTATCGTCAGTCGTTCTTGCAATAGTTGTAGGACGCCTTTATGGCCTGCTCATAGCATCAAAATGTACATGCTTATGATCTATATCATCTGTTATATAGCCTGAAATTTCCTACGATTCAGAAAGAAAACATAACCTCACAATACAGTAGAAATCTAGAAATACCTCAGCCTTTCTAAAGGAGAGGAAAGACTATGGAAATCAAGGAAGCGAAAAAGGAGTCTTACAATTAGAGGAACGACGATACGGCACTTAGTGTCAGTGAAATATTTTTTAACATACTTTTAAACAACTTTAATTCGGAATTTAGACTGTTATATATACTTTTAATATAATAAAAGATGATACTTGCCGTCTTCCAAACGTGACTATCCTGGCTTTGCAATTTGCTTGTCTCCTTCTGGTACAACACCACATCAACCTATTTTTAGTTGTTTGGTCAATTTGGTATTCAAAGCTCTTGTACATCAGAATGTCGTTTTTTTGTCCCATCCTTTTATACACAGTGACTAAAAATACATATGATGTTCAAACATCGCATAAAATTATCAAAAATCAAACCAAAATACATGGTGGAAATAACTGCGACGAAATGAAATATGATTAAATAAAAATTTAGGTAGAAGTACGTTCTAGCTTCAAAAAGTATCCTTGAGTAGACAGGCACTCTTGTGAGGAGTACTTAAGAAATAAGTAATGAGTATTCCTGGAGATTTAGGGCAAGAACAAAAAAGTATTTTATCGGTAGGTCAGTATCAACAAAGTCTTATAGACGTTTCGAGTTTTGTATTTCAGATAGAATATCTTATAAAGGGAGGCATGGATTCACTTATGTCACACAACAAAGTATTTATTTAGAGAATAAACGTATAACAATTTCGGATATACAGGGTGTCCGCAAAGTTGGGGTTTTCCTTTACACGACGTGTAGATCTTGAAAACATAAGCAATTTTTCTTAGTACCATATACACCAATGTCTTAAGGGAACCGAGATAAAGGGCTCTGCAACATCAAAAATATGTGAATACCGTCCTGTAGCCGCGACCCGCCACGATATCCCCGACTGGTACAAGGTCTCAACCCGACGGCAGAACTGGGTCGGGGTCAGTGTGTCAGGTCAGTATGCAACCTTCAACGGACGGTTACGGTCACGCATGTAGAGGTAATCGCGTAGACGAGAATCCCTCAACAAGCACTAGAGAAGTGCAAGTATCAGAAGAGAGGCTGTATCCGTTTCACGTCCAACGTGTACAAGCCCTTCAACCTGACGATTTTCCAGCAAGAGTGCGGTTTTGTGAGTGCTCGGTAACGCTTCAGCTGATTTCATTTTCTGTGGGAGCGGTATGATTTCGGGCAGAGACGTACTTAGCCCTTCTCGTCAACTGGAGAGTGAGTACTTTTTCCTTTATTTTTTTTTACTTGGTCGCCCTCGTTTCACTACACATTACCTTTGTTATTTCAAGGATAGTTGTTTCTGAAAAGGAAAACCCCAACTTTGCGGACACCCTGCATATTACAGTCACTCAAACTTCTGAGAATGACAGCTCAAATTTAAAATATTTACAATGTATTTTTTAGAACAAAATACGACTATATTCTAACATATTACATTATCAGATATGTATACCATAAAACCACAAAACAATATAATTTATAAAGTTGAGTAATTTATTTTAACAGCTTGTCTTTTACCATTTCTTTCATTATTCAACTTTTATATAGGTAATTTTTAGTATATCAACCCCTTTCGACGAGTCCTACAAGCAGTTAAAATGAACGACTCAACTTAACTTCTCATGTGGTTTTTATGCTGATAATCCTCCATGTTTGGCCGCTAAATGAAACCGCATCACGAAATAAGACAGTGCGAAGCGCCATCTACCGCTAGAATTGAGCACTGCGGACAGTGAACAGCAAACACCGCTTTTAGCTGTGTAGTAGATGAGGTCTACCTAGGGCTTCGCCACACGCAAGTCCAGCTTTGGTATCGGTCTTGTTAGATTTAAGTCAGAAGTAATTATAATGTTAAAAAATGCAACTCTGCACATTCTGTCACTACTATTAAGCAAGACCAGAACTTGATAATTTTGCAAAACCAAGACCAAGACTAAGACTTCGGTTATATTGCAAGACCAGGACCAGGCAAGTCTATAGTGTTTTTTTTTAACTTATTAGAAGTAGATTTTGACTAGAACATGTATTTGGTATAAGGAACTTTTAGCAATATTTTGGCTTGGAAATATACACATTTTACTCAACCACTACTAGCTTTTTGACAATACTGAACAAATACTGATGAACCAAGAGAAGACAGACAAGGCAACTTAGAGATGCAACCAAAAACATGGCGTCCACAAAACAGCTGATGGCGAGCCGTTCTTATTTGGTCAGAGATAAATGCGGTGTTGCCATATAGATAATAATTTGTCTATCGTAGTGGAAGCATTTTTTGTTAGGACTGTCAAGTAAACAGAAGTCATTATCAAAACCTGTAAATTAGCTATTTAAACTTCAGAGCGCTAACCAGAAATCACACTATTTAATTTAGTAACAAAAGAGGCATGTCGGGTTAAAATACAAACTTTTCCTAACCGCAAATTGCATATTTCACCAATTGTTGCCATTTATCTAGATTCTAGACAGTCTATATTTTTACTTTTTTAATATAACCACCAAAAAACGTGAAAAGATCTCAACTCCAATCAGCTTAGTATAAATGTAGGGTTTTATGAACATTTTATGCCACTTTGGCAACATCGCCTCGGTCAATGTACAGCGAAACACGCGGATCCTTGACAGAACCAAGTGCGCTCGCTCTTTTTCTTCTAAACTAGCAAAGTTTTGGTTACATCTCCAACTCATATGGTATGTTAATATCATTCGTATGTGATGGTAAACATCCATCTCGGCAAGTTTGACATTTAACATTAAAATACGTAAGATTTGGCTAGTTTTATCTTCTGATAGTAGGGTAGCAATGTGCTTTTTAGTTCATTTCGGCGAGCTAGTTCACTATAACGAACTAGTACCATATTTTTCAACCAAGACGTGTAACAAGGTTCTATGATCTACTGCGCATGGTGATACATCGCCAAATCAGTCTTCTTGGCTCTCGCTAGGGAATGTGAGAACGTGACGGTCTGCTTGTGACACATGGACAAATCGCCTGTAAAGCTAGGCCCGTGGTTGTGATTCAACTTTCTCATCTCAACTATGTGATTATACGTGATCGCGCGTGCTTTACATTTGTATTTGTCCTTGTGTCTGCAACACCACATGCCGCGAGACCCCATTTGACGTTCTTTCTTGTACTCGAAGCGGTCTATCACTATGATCGGATGTTTCAACCCTCTGTACGTGTACAGAATCCCTAAAAACAGCGATTTGTTAGATTGAGCAAGATGAAGATATGTACGAATATAACGGAAGAGAATAACACAACTCACCGTACCCACTGATATGTCGTAAAATTGACCATTGTATGCATCAATATCCATTGACTAGATCATGATATGATTGTTTAACGATATTTCTAGTATAAGTGGAACTCTTCGCGTTTCTGGACACGCCTGGATATGAATCTGTTGCCATCTAGATCGCTTCCATGGAAGTCAGTGACTCAGTCTGGAAAACTCTGGAACATTCCTCGAGTCATCGGTAGGGGAATAAATACCCGACCAGATGACGGAAGCAAGTTAGTCGGAGTCAAGATTACAGTATTTTGTAATTTTTATGATGATATAAAATGTTCGAATAAATGGTTTATCATTTCGATTACGCAGCAATTTGAGTGAAAGATTTTTTGACGCAACTTTTGTCTTTTGCGTCCGATGACGTGAAAAAGATTCCGATAACTTTTCGAGAAAATGCGAAGGTACTTCTGGGACTAAAACAGTGTCATACGATGCGTTATGTTACTCGCTACCGTTTCTACCAACAGAATATTGTTGATCCTTACTTATCTCATCCTTCTAGTGATATTCACTATCAGCTCTGTAGTTTTTTTGTACCGTCTATGCAAGATAGGATGGTTATGTTCCGAATTCAAGATAATCATAGTCTTTCCGGATGTGTTTAATCTAGCCTTGCACTTCTGCGTCAGTTTCATCCTGCACGACCAAACTGTTTTGTTGGGGCACCGCCTTTCCAACAAATATTCTTGACCTTGAAATACCAAGATTGGATGCTTGGAGCCTGAGGTTATCATGATTCTCCCTGGAATAAAACTCAGGTTATGTACAAAAGGCTAGCGTCAGTTGAGAAGACCTTACGTTTTTTTATTGCAAAAATAAGCTAGTTCAACAGCTTCGGGTTAAAACCAATAACGTACGACGACCACCAAAAATGACGTAGAAATGACGTCATTATGTCACACCCAATTGACGTCATTATATGACGTCAAAGAATGTCGTATAAATGACCAAATACGTCTGTGAGACGTCGATATGACGTCTATCTGAGGTCAGTATGACTCTATGTAGCTATTAGTATTTAGTTATCTGGCTTGCCTTACTGTTCATTAAAAGTCTATATTTTCTTTGTAGGTAAGTGTTGATTTTTCAGTACTGACTGTCCTAAAAAGGACGTCAAAATGACGCCCTTGTTGTCGTCATAAAAATGGCTTCAATCAAGACGTCATATTTAGTCAATGACGTTTCTGACCAAAAGTGACCGAATAATGACGTCATTTTGGCGTCACCATGTTCACTGGGAAGTTACGTGGGCAAAATATCTGTTGCAGCCTAATTTCAACATGACGTTCAAAGTAATATACATTCTTGTAAATTTCTATACCTTTATTATCAAAAATTTTGTAAAAATAAACATTCAATTTTCTGTACAAATATAAAATAAAACAGCGTATAAGGGGCTCGTGTTTGGCAACAACGGATATAATCCGCCTTATCGGTTCATCGCATCGGAAACAAAAAAGCGAAAGAATTTGAAACGCTTATCACGATGTTTTTACTACAATTTTATTCAGTTGTATTCAGTCAATGTGTCAGTCGGTAACGCGTGAGTGAATAGTGGTGTTTGTTGCGCGGCTCAAACGAAATAAAAAATTGCACATGTTTACGAAAATGCTGAACGGCAATCCAAATGGTGGTGGGAGACTGGAGGAGAAATATAGATGAGAAAGAATATACAGGGTGACTTCGAAGTTGAGTCATTTATTTTAACAGTTAGTAGATCTGATCAAAAGAAATGTTTTTTTCCTTTACCATTTTTCTGGTAAAATTAAAGTAACAAAGTTATAGCCCTTTGGAAGTTTGAGTACCGCCCTGTCTCAATAATAATATTATGTGCTCGTGTTTGGCAACAACGGATATAATCCGCCTTATCGGTTCATCGCATCGGAAACAAAAAAGCGAAAGAATTTGGAACGATGTTTTTACAATTATTTTATTCAGTTGCATTCAGTCGGTGTCAGTCGGTAACGCGTGAGTAAATAGTGGTGTCTGTTGCGTGGCTCAAACGAAATCAAAAATGGCACATGTTTACGAAAATGCTGAACTTGTGGACATAATTCTTATTTACGCGGCATCACGGATTTACACAGAAAACAAAAAAGTATTTGGACTCTTCATGAATCGTCTCAACCATCTAGAAGTTGTACGTGAGACGAACTCATTTAGATAATACTGAAAACAATAAATTATCTCCAACCATTGGATTGACACAATCAGCTGTTTTGTAGACGATGTGTTTTTGGTTTGGCCAATCTATTTCTGTCTAATTTATTCGCTGTATCTTCTTCATACTTTATGGTGGTATTCTTCTCGTAATGGGTCCATGTCTGATGCATATCTTCTCTTGGCATAACTGTTCTGTCTTCATCCTGTATGGTTACATCCTTCTCGTAATGGTTACAGCCAGTTCCATAGCTGACGGGTACTCTTTCATCGAAGCAGGGTGATTGTGAGTGGCGTTCAATATTTTCATCGTATTTCCGAAGGTGTTTAGTCTTGCTCTGCATCTTTTCGGCTTGTTTCTGCACGACCACGATGTCTTGTTGCGCAACATCTTTTCGACAAAATACTCATGGCCTTCGTAGACTAAGATAGGACGTTTGTATCCAGACACTACGTATATCGTTCCTGAAATGTGACGTGCAAATGTTTTTTCTTTTAATTGTGGAGAATGAAAGTGGGAATGAAAAAATGGCGTCAAATGAAAACACCCTGTATTGTGTGACATTGATATTGTAAAAAAACACATATCCATTTAGCTATTGAAATCTCTCTGCCTATTGATGTTAACAACGATCTTTGGTGATTGAGAAAAGTGATCCTTGTAGACGCAAGGATGGTTGTGTTCATCGCAAACGATCGTCAACGTCTTCCCGAACGTAATCAGCCTGCCTCTGCATTTCTGTCGTTTCATGCTGCAACACCAGACGGTCTTGTTCGGGCATTTTTTCGCCAGCGTGAACTCGGCGTTCTCGTAGATCAGTATCGGATGTTTTATACCCCTTACGAATCGGACCACACCTAAAACCGCTCGGTAAGGTACTAATAGTATTGTTATACGCATGCAATGTTGCCAGATCAGCGGTTAAAAACAACTAGATGTGCTAGCAGTCGACAAAATAGAAAATGCTGAAAACGACTAGGCGTTAATAAAGAAAACGCATATCGAGGTAATCACTTCTGATACAGAAAAAAGTACAGGGCTATTAAAAAGCATTTATTAAAATACGATCAAATCAATATATAAAAATCAAGCGTTTCATAGCAATCTTTTACCAAAAATTGTCACTTGTTGGGCATTTCACGTGAAGAAGACAGCAAAAAAAAAAGGTTTTAATATTCATTCATATTAGGGCTGCTAGAACATGTTTGTGGTAAAATTAAAGTAACAAAGTTATAGCCCTTTAGAAGTTTGAGTACCGCCCTGTCTCAATAATAATACTATGTGCTCGTGCTCGATATAATCCGCCTTATCGGTTCATCGCATCGGAAACAAAAAAGCGAAAGAATTTAAAACGCTTATCACTATGTTTTTACTACAATTTTATTCAGTTGTATTCAGTCAATGTGTCAGTCGGTAACGCGTGAGTGAATAGTAGGTTAACTAGTTGATGATCGTTCTTTAATATATTTTAACATAGCTCCTAACTTACCAAATAAACAACACACGATAAAAAACGTGTTTTCTCTCTCACACCTACTGAATGTTCAAACATTCTCAATATGAACGAATTATGAAACCTCATTTTGTCCTTGTCAGCTTCACGTGACATGCCGCTTTACAGCCTTGGGCAACAACTACCAGCTTCCAACGAGATGTTTCGTATTCGCATAATTCTTAACAATAGTAACAGTAACCCTCTGCGCACGAATGCCCATCGTAGGCAGCTCCTCTTCAGTGTAGTGCGTCGGATGATTGTGAACGGAACTCAGTACGAATATAGAACATCCTGACGTCATCACGTGCGCTCTGCACGACGTTCGTTTGTTCTTGCAGAACCAAACCGTACGATTCGAGTATTTCCGGTGGACGGTGTATTCGTTGCATTCGAAGATGATCTTCGGGTGCTTGATGGCTCTCCCCTTATAGAAGTACAACCAGCCTGAAAGTGGGATCGGTGATAGTACACAAGTAGTCATCAGTGGTTATACAGGGTGTCTCAATATTGCGCGGTAGAAGTACCACGTATTGTTAGACTCAAAATAAGCCGATTGGGCATGATTTGCTTCTATGCAAAAGTGTTTTTTTTTACATTCTTTCAGATATTTTTGGAACTGATAGTGCGATTTGAATGAAATTTGGAACAAATACGTTTTGATTTAACTTTTACAAAAAAACTGAGAGGGTTCGAAAAGGACGAAAACATGAATTATAGCAGAATGTTTTCACAGCTCGCTGATTTTTTTTTATTTCAAAAATCCTTTTATTTACCCACAAAGCAATCCCCTCTGTGGGTTTTCGGTAAATTGTGAACTTCCGTAAGCTTTATTATATTTTAAAGGTAATAAACCAACTTTTGATATCATTGGGACACCCTGTACATAGTATAGTCAATGCGCAGTTATGCAAAAAGACTGGTTCACAACAAAAAACCCTTTGTTTGGCGGTTCGCTGATAGATGGCTCGGCATCTACCGAAGAAGCGATCGTGCAGTGTTGCCAAACTGACAGAAAATGTTTAAAAGCTGCTACATTTATACTGAGATTTTGATTGGGTCAAAAAGACCTAGGAAATACGCAAACATATACTCTTAACTGTACTACTTGCCAAGCTTAACTTCCCTAAGCGCATTGCACACTTCAGAATCAGACTTACCTATATCCCAAAGTGGCCCATATTAATTAAGCTTTATATTTGTCGTTATAGTATCCAGGTATGCATTTTTGACAAATTTTTAGTTTTTATACATCTCATAGGGACACCCTGTACATAGTATAGCCAAAGCGCAGTTATGCCAAGCGACTGGTTTACAACAAAAAGAGCAAGCTATGTTGTTTGGCGGTTCGCTGATCGATGGCTTGGCAACTACCGAAGAAGCGATCGTGCAGTGTTGCCAAACTGACAGAAAGTGTTTTAAAACTGCTACATTTATACTGAGATTTTGGCTGGGTCAAAACGTCCTACGAAACAAGTAAACATATCCTCTAAACTGTACCACTTGCCGAGCTCAACTTCCCTAAGCGCATTGTACACTTCAGAATCAGACTTACCTATATCCCAAAGTGGCCCACATTAATTAAGCTTTATATTTGTCGTTATAGTATACAGGTATGCATTTTTGACAAATTTTTAGTTTTTATACATCTCGTAGGGACACCCCGTACATAGTATAGTCAAAGCGCAGTTATGCCAAGACTGGTTTACAAGAAAAAGCCCTTTGTTTGGCGGTTCGATCATAAATGGTTCGGCATCTACCGAAAAAGCGACCGTGCAGTGTTGCCAAACTGACAGAAAATGTTTAAAAATTGCTACATTTATACTGAGATTTTGGTTGGGTCAAAAAGATCTACGAAATACGCAAACATATCCTCTTAACTGTACCACAACCGAGCGTAGCTTCTCTAAGCGAATTGCACACTTCAGAATCAGACTTACCTATATCCCAAAGTGGCCCACATTAATTAAGCTTTATATTTGTCGTTATAGTATACAGGTATACATTTTTGACAAATTTTTAGTTTTTATACATCTCGTAGGGACACCCTGTACATAGTATAGCCAAAGCTCAGTTACGCCAAGCGACTGGTTTACAACAAAAAGAGCAAGCTATGTTGTTTGGCGGTTCGCTCATCGCTGGCTCGGCAACTACCGAAGAGGCGACCGTGCAGTGTTGCCAAACTGACAGAAAATGTTTAAAAACTGCTACATTTATACTGAGATTTTGATTGGGGCAAAACGTTCTACGAAATAAGTAAACATATCCTCCTAACTGTACTTATACGCCTTTATATTAATTAAGCTTTATATTTGTCGTTATTGAATACAGGTATACATTTTTGTCAATTTTTTAGTTTTTATACATCTCGTATTGTTGAGGGGGCTATATGAATATATATAGTATCTAAATCTCGCCTCGAGTAATGTATTACAAATAAAAAAAACATTATTATATACGTGATCTACGCACCTGATTAGTGGTATTGTACGAACTGTCATTTAGTAACTGATCATGAATATCAACTGCTACCAAATACTTGGCGTGATGACGACTTCGAAGACTAGGTGCTTCACGGAAGAAAGGCATCATCATCAATCGTATACCGCCGCAAGTTTACTATGGTCTGCAAGCAATATAGTGCCTTAAAGGCTATGATAATTGAGTCCATGCAATTTTCACGATATTTATCGTCGTGATCATGTCACGGTTTTAAATCACCGATATCAGAAGGTAACCATATTCAGAAATAACGATATCGGTCATCTCTACACCCAATTTACCCTAGAAGCTGTTTTTGGTCGAAATTGTATAATAAGCTAGAATTTTTTAAATGTTCTTTCAATAGCAATACTATGCAAACTTTGAGCCTTCTCTATGCAAAATTTTAGTTTTCGTAACCTGTATAAACAAGGGACCGATGAGATAATTTGGGACGCTGATTTCGGGTAAAAAATGCTAAAACGTCACATGACCCTTTGTTGATTAATACAACCCTGCTGCACATACAAAATACGTATCCATCGCAAGTCGTTGAATAAAACAAATATGTAAGAAAGTATATTGTATAATTTTCACCAACGTAATAAAGACTATGATCAATCTTACGATCACAATTTTATATCATTTATAACTATTTCTAACAAGAAAATAACACGAATATTATACAATTTCTCTCTACAACCCCTAACCTCCAACCCCTACAAAAAAAAGTCTGAACATGATCACTAGCCTCTGAAATTTCAAAAACATTTAACGATTTTTATTTTTTTTTTTTTTGGTATTTTTCGTACGTCATGAAACAGTCAAGTCAAAAAACATATCTCAATTTCGAAATTTTAAAGCATTTACAATACTTTCTCGCCATCGGTGCAGGAAGTAAAAGCATGTCGGTAAGAAAATGGAGTGATTGAATAGGCATTTTTAAAAACCCGAATGGAGTATTTTTCAGTGGTGTTTCTAGTTTTATACGTTTTTCAAGACTGATCAAAAGAACGTCATCGCGTTTCAAATCGATAATCCTTCAATCAATCCTTCAATTACCAGACAATCAAATTTTGCAGTAACGTTTAAAAGCTTCATCCGTCAAATGTTCAGTTTTCAAAATAAAAATCAAAACAATATGGAAAAATATCAATCTTGTCAAACATAGGAAGTATCTTGGTGCAAAGTTATGAGACGTAAGTACTTTGTTGGTAGCTTTTATAATTTGCATAAAATCTTGCAAAAATATACTAGTTTCAAATAATACACATAACTTGTTAATCCTTGAAGACCTATAGAGCCTTTTTATTTATATTAATCCTAAACATGAGCTTCATGATTCTGTTCCACTGTGATATCGTCCATAA